CCACAGCCTCCAGGCACCATGGAAAAACATCCATAGCATCACTTAATTCACCTGGGATGGAGATGTATAACTGAGTATCATCCGCATACTGATGATGCTGTATTGTATTTGATAAACCAAATTGTTGATGTAATTCGCAAATTGATTTGAACTTGTTCCAAATTTGTCATCTGGTTGACAAGGTGTCCGAGACCTCCACATATTTTCAGTGGGCTGTGGTATAAGACTGAATGTGGCAGATTCTTGGGTTCATTTCTGATTCCATTGTTCCTGGCTACTTAGCATGGTTGTGACCAGAAGTGTCAGACACCATTAAATCATGGTCTTTAGTGGTGATGAGCTGAGTTTGGACTGCAAATTACTTAGAACATCTGTGCTAAAAGTGTCAATATTATGCCAAATTGTTTCTCACTATAGAAACAGAAAAATTCAGATTGAATCTTTAGTGTCCTTTAAGATGTATTTTGATTGCCCATATTTTTATTTACTGTACCAAACCTCTAAAAAAGTGTTTTTAAATGACAGATTTATTTTATGAATTTCATTTGATAGATAGGCAAATGAAAGCATTTTAAAACTGCTATTTTTCACAGAACCTTCACCTTAAATTCAGATTCCATTCCCAATGCTTTAGCAGGTTAGTTTCAGTATAATTTACACAGCTGGACAAGATTCTGAGTGATGGTTTAGGTAGGTGGTCACTAACCACAGGGTGAATTAGTATGCAATGAATAGAAAATGTACAGGGCTTTTTGCCCAAAGTTTGTAGAAGCAGTCATTTCAAAATGTCTGTTCCTCTTCCCCCATGCCCCAAAGCCATGTTAATTACTTCTAGGTCTCTGAATATAATTGCTTAATGCAAGATAATATCAGTACAATGGTTTCTTGATGAGTTCATCAAGAACTCACACTTCATGTATAGTTGCTAAACACTTGTTAAATTATGTTATAATTTGATATAATGAAATACTAATTCTTAAACAGTAGTTAGTGTCAGAATTTACAATACTGTGATTTTCTTACTAACATACTAAAGAAAACATTTTAAAATTATTTAACCAGGTTTGCATTTCTCCTCTTATTATTTAATAGTAAAATGGCACTGGTGTTGATAGATTGGACAATATTTTAAAAGAAACATATCTGATCATCATTGTAGTAAAACAATAGATCAGCTATTCTTCAGGCACACAAATTCATATCCTGACTATACTGAATCTCACTGCATGTTTTCTCTACTCATTCATTGCCCTGATGTTATCTTTCAGATATGCTGAAAGCTTTATTTGGAAGAAAAGCTGGTAATATAAAAGGATAATACATGAGTATTACAGATAATCAGGAAGCATGCAACTATCAATAACTGCTAATATTCTTTTTCTGATTAAGGAATACTGGGGAGAAATAGGAAGTAGATAACTCCATGAAATTCTGTTTTTGAGTCGCTATAGGGTACCTGTCGTGTACTATTGTTTTGGGAGATTAGTTGTTACTGGTTTGATAGTCATGACTGCAGGTATCATACATTACCACAACAGCTCTACAGGATTTGGTAGAGTTGTGCTATTCCTTATCAACATATTTGTAACAATGGACCAATTGAAATACTTACCTAGGAAAAAAAATCCTTTTCCCATGGCTGAGGGATGAGTTGGTATATTATGTACAAAATATATAATTCACACTGTTAACTATTCATACAGTGGACAAACTGCAAATATCCCTTTACACAGTTTACACAGTTGTGATCACTGCACATGCTGGTATCATAGTTCATTACCATGTTGTACATTACATTGTGCAACATAATCAAAGGGGTCATGCATGCCTGTTTTCATGAGTAATATAATTTTGTCCTTGGATAAATAGTTGAAATAGGCCAGGAAGATACTTTGTGCCATATCTCAGGACATAGAGTAAAATCAGGTTGCAGTGATTACACTGATAAAATATAGGTTTTATAGATAAAATATAGATAAAGATTTTTTTTTATTCTCTCATAGTATAGAAGATTATCTAAATTACGGGTTCAAAAAATAATATCCAGGTCTATTCAGGATTTTTTCCCACTGTGTGGGTGTATTTCAGTAGAGACCACCCACTGTTTAATGATCCCAACATAGCACTAGAGTTGTGTATTCTATCCCTTCCTTCCTTGACAAAATTGTTGCCCTTTAAATCTATTTCTTTCCAGACAATCAGAAATTACACTGCCAAGTCTTTGATGTATCTTGTTCTACCATTCCTCAAGTTAATACTTTGGAACTGAGTGTCAGGTGTGGAGTAAACTCATCATTATAAATGTAATGCAAACCAAAAGAAGACAGTTGCTTAGCTAGCTTTGTTTAGTAGTTGAATTATTAAGAGCATTCTATATGTTTCAACGGTAAACTCCATGTAAGCAAAAGTAACTTCATAAAGAGCAAAACAAAAAACCAGCTTTACTTGTGATATTTTCTTTTCTTATCTAGTGCACCCCAAACATCCTGGATGCATTTTCCAGGCTTTCTCCAAAATTTGCTCTTTATTTACAGTGCTTAATGTGAAAGGAGAAATTATCAGATGTATATGAAGTAATACTATTAATTGTGTTGAACTAATTTTATTACTTAGTGTTCATATTATTTTATTATTCACATTGAAATATTGTTCAAGAGCAACTTCCAGGGTATCACTCAAATCCCCAAAAGGTTCCATACAACTGCGCTCAGCACTACAGAAATACTTTGTTCATGCGATGTTATTCTTATCCTCAGTTACTCTTTATTATTATTGCATTAAATTGATAGCTCATCTTTCCTCTGAAGTTCAAAATGGTATCCGTGGTGGGCCTCTCCTCTTTTTCTTGTCACAAAGACCTCTATGTGATATGGATTGAGCTAAACATTGTAAGTGACTCAAGGTTACCAAGTGAGGACTGTGTCAAGTACAGACCTAACTAGGTCTAACACTTTAACTATTATAGTACACTGAACTATGCTAGGCTGACTGAATGACCATTTATAAAATATAGGGGAAGTGTAACTTCCCCAAGTTGTTTATAAAACACAAGGAAATGACAGAAGATAGAGGGGAAGGAGGATGAAGGCAGAGGCAAATGAATAGTTTGTAACAAAGGTGTCATAAAAATGATTGTTCAGGAGAAAACTTCACAAGAAGAAAAGAAGAAAGTGTTGAATTGGCTGAGGGTGTGAGAGACTTTGGATGAAGGAAGGACTTGAGCTAGGGGAGAGTCAGATGGACCAAGATCTATCAGGTTGTAATTGCAGAAAGATAAGAGGGACGACTTAATAGAAAGGCGAAGGCATTTAATTAAGTTTCAGTGAGTCAGCCCTTTTTTTAAAAAAGTCAAGAAAGATAACTAGGAATTATAATAATAATTATATGAGCATTAAAGAGCATTCTCCCCACCCTTTACATGTCTGAATAAAAATTGTCAAATATTTTTTCTTCTTTTCAAAAAGCAAACCTGAGCTTATTTGTAAAGGAAACCAATTTCAAAGGTCTCGAGTTCTAGCTGTCATTTCCTAGCATTTCTTTATACCATTGTAAGTTTTATTACTTGGGTCACTCTAGAGATTTTAGATAGAATTCCCATTTTCCAGAAGAAATCAGTCATTGAGCAGCTCATGATACCTAGATTTATGTTTAATCTAGATAAAATGTGATAAGCTGGACTAGTCTTCCTTTTCTTGATTTTTCCTGATTTTTAACATATCTGAAATGTGACTGGGCTCTAGAAATTCCTTCCAATCTTTCCCATTTTTCCCTTAATTGCCTTTCAGAAATTGATAAAAGTCCTTTTTAGGAAAATGTTTAGTATGTTCCAACTGCTGTTCCTGACAGAGAGAGAGAGAGAGAGAGGGAGATAAACCCTCTGTGAAGCATTTTGATCGCTGTTGCTCTGAATTTTGCTCTCTTTCTACATTTTCATATTTAGAGTATGCTGCAATTTGGAAGTCTATTTATTTACATTGTTGCAAATTGCCTTGAAGCCAGAGTAGGGTAAAAAAAAAGTACATAAGTACATACTTTAAAAAAAAAAAATCACTTAAATTAATCACTCTCTAAAGGAGTCACACAGCACTCCAGGACCTCCGTACGTCAGTAAACTGTCAGTTTTGTTTGGTTATTTTTACAACTGTTGGAGCATCACTTAGATTTTCTCAGGAATCAACGTAGCTTCTCTGTCTCATATCTGTTTTCACTCGAAGAAGAGAACATGCTCAACAACTGCTTTATTTTCTATGAAAGTAATCAAAGCCTAAATGCAGCTTCTGTTCAAGACAGAGAACGCTGGAAGGATTCCAGCAGAGACTTACTGGTCATGGCCATCATGGCTTCAGTGTGAATAACCTATAGTTTGCAAGACCATCCTGCCAGTGCTTTAATGAATGAATTAATTAATTAAAAATCTTCTTGATTTGCACTCCACAAAATATGCTATTTTGGGGTTTAAAATGCATACAGGTTCTCTATTCAAAGAGAATATTTTAAACAAGTTAGTGCTATTTCTGGAAAGGGAGACATTTACACGTTTCTGATTTTAAAAAACATATAATACTAAGGCAATATATGAGGAGCTGTTCATTGTATAAATGTACAATAATTTAAAAGTATGAGCTTTCAAGGATGAAAATCTTTGAACATTTATCTGTGATTTATAAGTCTCATACTGTTATTTGGTCCACTTATATCTTACAAGTCAATGCCTCTCTGGGCATTTTCTGAGTGTTCATTCTCTGCGTTTTAAAGGCACAGGTAGGGAAAGAATATGGGGACCAGGTTTGAGAACTGAAAGGTTCTTTGATACAATGAAATCTAGTGATTAATAGCAATTGTTTATGCAGATTCAAATACAGATTTATTTAACTGACAACCAGTTGTGTTCCTTTTCAGACATTAATGAATGCCAGTTGCAAGGGGTTTGCCCTAATGGTGAGTGTTTAAATACCATGGGCAGCTATAGGTGTACCTGCAAACTGGGATTTGTACCAGATCCTACTCTTTCCAGATGTGTCCGTAAGTAACCCAAACAATCAGTGCCATTTAGTTGTGTGTTTTCCTTTCTCTTAGCCCTCTTACAGTTTGTACTGGAAACAGCTTAGTCATTGTTGATCTAAATGTTCCTGTGGCAGTTATTCTAAGAGAAGTTTCAATTCACCATTTAGAATTGTTTTGCTTTAAAAGTTAATGAAAAACTGTGGTTTTAATCAGATTGTATGGTTGCAGTAGAATCCAGAAAGTCCATTTCCCCAAATAAATAACAAAAACAAAAACAGTTTTTGGTGTATGCAGCAACAGACCATTTGCTCCCCCTGCCCCCCACAAGTGATGCTTAATCAGCGGTTGAGTAAAATAAACTGAATCTTTTTTTTTAATTTACCAGTTAAGGCCACTGATCTCAATAGGGCCTGATTAAAACAAACAATCATCTGTAAACTATGTTTTGATATCTCATGTTTTCTGATTTTGCCAGTACAGACATACCCATGTGTTCAAGAAAGGAAGGTTTATTGCTTCCTGCATGAAACATTCCAAACATTCTGACCACAAGAGCTCTGAGATAATTACAGCATAAACCCTTGTTTGGTTTGTGCGAAATTTTCCTTTATGCAAATAAAATAAAATTATTAATTTGGACTTTTCAGTTTCAAGAACTGCATGGGTTCTCAAGGATCATTATCCTTCACCCTTAATAATTACTTTACTGGGTCTGTTATTGTAACCTACATACTAGGCTATGAATGCTTAAAAAATTATTAGGAAGAAATATTTTGGATCTTGCATGAGTACAGCATTTCTATTCCATTTATTAAAGCTTCCTGACTTTGCTAATGCGACTCTTAAAGCAGCCATGACTTTTTTAAGGCTTGCTTGAATGAACAGGAGAGAGGTATTACGGTCAGGTAAAGTCTGAAATATTTCGACCAGATCATTTTCAAATCATGGAAAGTCCTGTTATATAAAAATAGCAAATCCATTCTCTGTTAGTGGTTTCTTAGCTTTGCATATGTATAAATAATTTTCTTCCTAATCTTTTAATAATCCAGTGAGGAGCTGAGCGTGCTCAATAACTAAGGCATGTTTGTGATTTATTGCAAGAAAAAAACCCAGAAACCTTGAGAGAGGAAAATGTAAAGGAGGGTTCTGAAAAGATGCTGGCTGAAACTTTTCTGAGGAATGAGCCAAACTCCAACATTTTGCTACACATCCCATTTGTGAAATGTTTTTGCTAAGAGTTGTACATTAAATAAAATAGAAGCTTGTTCTCCTTGTAGCACTCGCATTTTTAACAAAAATCTTTTACACGGTGGTTCATAAATATCTCACGTTCCCAATCCAAATCCAGCTGAGATGTCTGCTTGCGTGGAGAAATATAGGTCAGTTGAGCAATCTCTGAGCAGCAGTGTTTTCGGATAAACAAGTGCATTTTCTGTAGCTGAAGCGGTCCTTTTTCCTATCTGCCAAGATCATGAAAAGTGTTATTAGGCAAGTCTTCAACCAGCCAGTTCACATGCTATTTTTGCCAACGTAAAACACACCTGGGAATGACTGAGACTTTTTGTATAAAGAAAAATAAGATGTGGACTGCCTTTCACTTGAAACTTGAGAAATTAGTAGAAGAATAGAATGTAAAACTTGACATCTAATTAGTCCCAAGTAAGAATCACTTTATTAATTAATAGGCTAAGTAGTGATTTCTTATAAGGTTAACAAACTATAAATTAATTATTGGAAATAAGTATAAGCATAAAGATAAAATAAGGATATTTTGTCATCTCTCAGTGATGTAAAGCTGCTGCGGTCTCATTTCCTCTGCCAATGAAACAAAATTTTTGATCTCTAGGATTATGTAAAACGTGTGCTGGTCTCACTGCTTTATTTTACAGATACAGGGTTGTGGCTGGAATAGTATTCCACACTCTTTTTTTTTTTTAATCAATTTCAGAAGAATTACTTTTTGGATGCTACTGCAGATTCCGTCTCACCTATGAATGCTTGCTGTGCAGGAGAATCTAAAAAGCCCCCTTTCTTTTAGCCCAGTCCTAGAAAAAAATATATAATAAAAGATGCTTTGGGTTTCTTTTCCCAAAGCCAGAAAACATAGAACTTTACAAAAATAATAGAGGTGATACCCTCACAGCCATTCAGTTGCATATGGAAAAGCTTTGCTGAGAAATTTCTTTTTAAAAATAATACAGTGAAATCCAGAAAATGTAGGACATATTATTTCAGTAGGGAAAGTGAAGGAGAGGAATTCACATGAGAAGGCAGGAATCCCACACAATGAAGTTAACTCTGCATATTTTTTCCTACTTGGACAGAATCTTTGATAAAGAATCTTGAATAGAGTTTTTACAGAATTCCTTACATCTTTCACCTTTTTATGTGTTACTAGAAAGACCCAGATTGGTAGAAGAGCCTTATCTATTTATGGGAACCTGAATTTACTAAAAACCATCTCTTCATTAGAGATGGGTTGTTCTGCTCTGTGGCTAAACCAACCCATTAAAAAAGTTGTACAAAGGCACGGAACACAGTATGAATTTTCACATTGAAATAATTAGTTTCAACTATAAAAGCAGCATTCTGAAAGAAATGCATGTTCAGGGTCTCCCCACAAAAACAACCAAAACAAGACAACAAGCTAACACCAGAATGTAGGCAGTTTTAACAAAGCTATATGATTACATAGCTGTATTCCATTGCTGACTTTCATGCTCACCTGTTCAGTATAAAAATTATAGATGTCTTCTTTCAGCCTAGATATCTAATAATTACTTAACCAAGTCCTCGAATAATGAAATGTGACCCTTTATAGGTACACCGCCTTCTTTTTTTATCTCTGACAAAAAAGTGTTCTGGAACATTTTGTAACCCAACAAATATATTGTCACTTTTTTCCAGATTTCTTTCTTCCCAGAATAAAGGAGAGAGATAAATAGTTAAGTTATTGTGTACAAATATATGCAGTTAGTTTAAAATGCAGGCGCTGTATTTAAATTGATCAGGTTCCTTAACTGAATTATAAAGTATAGTTAGGCTGCCTCTCCAGAAAATTGTTTCAGGCTGAAATGTTTTTTTTTTATTATTTTTGTTTGTATGCAAATAGATGAGAAAAAACTTGTGTTTCATTTCATTGCATAATAATAATAAATGTTTGCATAATTCTGACTTCAAAGAATCAGACTTTTTCTAGGTTTGATTGTATTATACCATACAGAACTATACAGAAAATGGTCTTTCATTCTCAAGTTGAAGAATATCAACAATTTAATGTCCTGTATGTATCATCTAACAGAATATGGGTGAAATCTACCAATTACTGCTGCTGTGCAACTTCTGTTCATTTAAATGGGTCATCTACAGGTTCATTCCTAATAGTTCCTTGGGGCTTAGACTAGGACAGAATTTCTGAACCACTATTTCACAAATTAAATATGTATTCTGCTAAAAATAAATAAAAAGACTTGGTATCTAGGCAAGTCTTAATAAAAAGACCTGGGATCTTATTTTAAAAGGCAAAAGATCTTATCTTTTAAAATAAAGACATGCCAAATTTGCACAAAACGTGATTCACTAAAATGAATATATCAGCCATAATCTTGATAAGCATCTTGTTTTCTGGTAGGACAGAAGAAACAGGTTTAGTTATGTGAAATATAATTTATGACTTGATCCAGCTTGATCACAACAACTTAGACAACTGTTTGTTAGCTATTATCACATCTGATTTGGTATTATTACTCATTATATTTTTACCATATTTTAGTACAATTAAAACTTCCTGACCTGCCAATATAGCTTGTTCTATTTTTCAAGTATCAAAAGGAGATACAATATACTTCACTTTGACTCTTTGCTGTATGTTGATATAACTATTATTTTTTTTAGAGCAACAACAAAACACTAATTCTGTTGACTGAAGGAATTTCAGATTTTGGTGATGTATTTCATGATATGAATTTGGGAAGACTGGCAGAAAAGGAACAAAGCACTTGGGAAGGATGATAGTGCTGTTAGCTGATATTTTGCCAGGGTTTAATTGTATTCAGATGACTTCATTTGTGTGCATTGATTGACTAGCAATGACTTTAAAGAATGCAGCTTCCTTGGTGACTTTAAATGATCATACCTATCAAGTCAGAGTTGTCATTTTGGAATTCATTTGTGACATAGCATTGTAACGTGAGTGTTGGAATAAGTGTGTGATCTGTCAATGTTCTGTATTTTTACTGTTCACCTGCTTTAAGCTTGCTTAAGTGCTTCTGCATGGGAATAAGGCATTCTCCTAATTCTATTTTATTGGAGCATGGCCGCATCTAATTTGAACACTGGCTTTTACTTCTACACAATTTGGGCTTTACTTTTGAACTGTATCAGATTGATATCAGACATGATGTATGAGAAATGTTTGTCTTTAGACATCAGCATCCTTTTCTCTGTAATGATGTGTTGAAGATTTTTTCTTGTCTGGTGGTGGAGCTCCTGTGGTGTTTTTCAAGTAAACTTTAGCGTCCTCCTTCCCTTTTTGCTGCAGCTGATAATCCCATGGTCATTGAAGAGAAAGGGCCCTGCTACCGGTTTGTCAGTGCAGGAAAGCACTGTATGCACCCTCTCTCTGTCCAGCTCAGCAAGCAGCTCTGCTGTTGCAGTGTTGGCAAGGCCTGGGGCCCCCACTGTGAAAAATGTCCCCTTCCAGGAACAGGTAAGAGGTTCCCAGAAAATGGATATATTTGCACCCACGTACAACATACCACATAGATCATAACCTAATGTAATCACCATAGTGTTATGTTGGTTGTATCTCTTATCATTACGAACAACAAACAAGCATAGATGAGGTTTTTCTCTATATTTTGCAATGACCAGCTTTCTAATTACGGGTGTCCCTTATTTGTTGAGTGATGTTTGATATTGCATAATTCACATCATTAGATGGTCATAAATAAAGTAAAATGTGTAGGTCTGTGAGAATTTTCAAAACTGATGTTGGTCCTCATGTTTAGACTTCAAAATATCCTTTTTAATTATCACAGAAGTGGTATTGCTAAGGCATGTTGAATGTATTAGGTGTCTGAGACAAATTAAGGTGGAAAGAAACTAATATGCTAAAGATGAGGCACAGGTTTATTGTAGATGAAACATAGATGAATTTAAAGGATTTTTTTTTTTTTGCTTCTAAGTATGAGTTTTGTGCAAGGAATGTTCAAGTCATTTAAATAATAAATTGACCAATCAACCCAACAGTATGTCAGACGACCAAGTTATATTAAGAATTTTGATTTTGAGTAAATATAATTAGTTGTATTACTAATGTTTGCAGGGATAATCCCTTCAACTTGCAAGTTTGCTACAACTGCAGTATACAGGTAGTCCCCAGTTTAAGAAAGAGTTCCGTTCCCAAGGTCTGTCCTTAAGTCGAATTTGTATGTAAGCCGAAACAGTATTATTGTATAATACTGTATAAGTAGTACTGTGTAAGTAACTCAAGCTATTGTGTATTTAACTTGAATTGTTATGTATTTAACTTGAATTTTGCCACAGTAGGCTCTGTTCTTAGCTATGGGTCATCCGTAAACTGGGCATTCTTAACCCAGGGACTACCTGTACTCTACTAGCCTCAAATAAAGTGTTCTGACTATATCTGATAGTAATCTCATACATATTGTTCCTGCATGTTCTCAGTGAATAAAAGGATGCTCATTTACTCACCATACTACCAGTGCCACTAGTTATTCAAATATTGATGAAACATTTTAATAACCTTTACATGCATTAAATCCAATTGTCTCATTGATTCCTAGATTCTCATAGTGATCTGTTGTTGAGGTCTGTCTACACTGGATTTTATCCTTATGTGGCCTTTTCAAAACTTTAAACTTGCATCCATATGACCAGTTTTCCCCCATTTGAAATATTTTATTACAGAAAAATCAATGAAGTACATTTGTAGAGCAATGTTATAGGTGTCTTATAAAAGTATCAGTGGCGTCTGAAAATTCTAAGAGTCACAGCTGAACACATCTAGTAGATAACATATTAGAGAAAGCTGCTTTAAAAAAATATGTTAGACCAGCTTGGTTAATGCTATGATTTTATCACTAAATCAGCATGTAGTCCATATTCTTGCATGCATTCCTCTCCTCCTCATTCCCACTTTTAAATAACCTGAGTTCCGCATTAGAGTTGCACTCTAGAATCACTTAAAATATAGTTAATGAACAAGCATATTTCAATTTCCCAAATTTTAGGCATAATGAGGAATGTTGATGTAAAAGTGAAAGCTTCCAATCTCCTGTTCAAGACTGTACTAGATAGGAGAGAGAAGATTCAAGTCTCAGAATCTTTCATATGATGCTGACCCAGAACTTAGAATTCGCTTAGAAAATGCCCATTGTTTGGTTGAAAATATGTCAAACTGAATCTTTTTTTAGGAGGAACAAATTATCTTCCCAAGTAATTTATGCAATATTATTGTCATGTAATTTGTGATTTTGCTTAAAAATAGAATAAATAACATTTATAAAAATGTTCTTGATGTCAGATTTTCTTTATTATGTTTTCCAATGTGTCAAAAATATTGCACTTTTAGATTCTTAAAAGGAATGTTTTCCCATCCCAAATCTAGCTGCTTTTAAGGAAATCTGCCCTGGTGGAATGGGCTATATGGTTTCTGGCTCTCACAGAAACAAGCTATATCATCACCCTGCAGTTAGAGTTCAGCCACCTGTCTTTGGCAAGACCCAGATTACTCAACATGTTGCTAAAGGTCCTTCTCCTCCACCTCTCCCAGCAAAGGAAGAGCCGGTGGAGGCACTGACCATCTCACAGAAAAGTGAGCCCGAGGTGGCTGTGAGAGAAGGTGAGAGTGGAAAAGGATTTCTTTATGTAGTTTAGTGTGACTTTCAGTATGTTCATGTGTTTCTTGTTTCCTGTGTATTTCTTACAGTGTAAAGTGCTTGTATCAAATGTGATGTCTTACGGGCAGCCTATCAAGTATTTAACTGTATCATTTATTATTGGAACTGGTTTCAGACTCTACAGCTTGGTATATATAAACATATTTAGCCCTCCGGGCAAAGAACTGGACCAGGTGACATACTCCCAGTAAATTATACATTTCTTGCAGATATATGCATGGGAGTAAATCTTAATTTCATTCTTCTTTTTTTTCCTCACCAATCTGAAATTGAATCCTCTTGGGTTCCTGTTAGATGTTTGGAATCTTCTAATTTTGGAAAACGAAACACAGCTTTTCGCCATCGCCAAAGCTTTTCACCATTGCAATTGTTACACGAAGCATTTCTAGATGTCAGTTTCATAGTTTTATGTCTCAGTCTTTGCATGGTTCCTGCAAATGCCTTTAAAATCAGCTGCTTCCAAATGTACTGTTTTTAACATGCTTAACATCAGTGCAAAGAAAAGCAAAGAGCTTGTGCATGTGCAGAAATAAGTGCATTGCCAACACGCTATTGGTGAACAGAACATAGACAGGTAGATGCAGATTGCTGTGTGGAGTGTTGTGATTATTTTGTTTTTGAACTATTGCCCTTCTGGAGTAGCTAATATATGGTTGTATGCAGTGAAAATAATAATTGCAATGTGTCTTGGGTGGGCATCGAAATAATGCAGAAAGCACAAAAACCTTTTGGAACATCAAATTCACTGAAATGATTTTGAAACCCTACATCATACCTACATAATATATTGTTCTGAGCTGCAAGTTTATGCCGGAAAATGTTTAATTTGGAATGACTGGGTCTAATTTTGCATAGAAATTCTACTTGTTAATGTTCAATTGCCACTTAAATTGGGATTTCTGTTTTTAATTATTGTATTCATACATTGTAGTTATCTTTTTAACTGTCAGCTTAATGAGCATCTTGAACAGATCTAAATCCAATAACATGAGGTTTATTTTAAAAAAGCATATATGGCTGCAAGGATACATGTAAAAAACCAGCTTAAATTAATGGAGCATTTCCATGCTAATTTTTGTATTGTGTTTGTTCATTTTAAAATGTTCATGGTGGATTCTGTGTTAATTACAACTGATCAAAATTTATTTTCCAGTTAAAAGTTTGTATGGAATGTTTTTTAAACCACAGAGCAATATTTTAATATATAGGTGGAATACTATAGTGAATGTCTTCTTAAGGCTTTATTTATGAATCCTTTGAGTCATGGGAGTGGACAGACTTTGTACCACGAGGATGTTAGTACTAAAGGTAAAATGCTTTGTAAAAAGAGGATAAAGTCAAGGCTAAGCTACATGATGACCAGCATATCAAATATCACAACTGACTTCACTAACAACCAGTTGTCCTTTTGCTCCATCATGCAATCAAATTAATGTTTAGCTTTTACTGGGGTATGCAGAGATGACTACCTCATTTGAAGTTGAAAATCATTCTACTCATATACGATAAATCTATCAAAGAAACACTTCTGATGTGTATTCGGTTTAATAGCCTTTGACGTTACCCTGTAATTAAGAATAGCTTTTTTTACATATAAATGGGCCTTTCACTGGCTTCTCATATGAACCTCTATTATAGCTATCAATGACAGTTTTAAAGTCAGGAAAACACAATGAAAACAATTTAGACTTGTACTGAGGAAGAGAAGATACCAGTTGGCCAAAAACTAGGTTAGCTCCTACCTTCAGCTTTGCATTCTATTTTGTTCTTCCAGGGTTGTTAAAGGATGAAGTGAGTAGTCAGCTTTAAAAATGGTTAGGGGAACTTGGTTTCAAGGGGTTCTAAATTCTAAATACAGTTTTTACTAACATTACTTTTTTATTCTTTTGCTGAGAGAGATCAATAGTTTATAGATTAATGAGTAAATTATGGCTCTTGATAATCCATTAAATCAGGATCAGCAAACTGTTAAGATGTTGGATGCTACTGTACAATTTTATGTGAAGGTATGAGCATCAAAATTTAATAACCATAAAATTTTAAAATGTCAAAAAAAATGACATTAAAGATTAGGCTCTGTCCTGGGTACCTCATAGATTCTGATGGTTTTCAGTAGACACTTGGGCTGTTTCCCACCAGCAGGTAGTCTGGCAGGCAGTTCAGTCAAGTGGCTAGTTGACCTCTGGAATATGAAAGTGTCAAAAGTGCTCAACAGGAATGTTCCTGAGCAGCTTCTTCCTGTACATAGATCCCAAGGAGTTCCTTGGCTTACTGAGCAACTCAGGGAGATGAAACCTCAGAAGAGATGCCTGAACAACACTAGTGAAAGACAAAGCATGAATACAACTGAACACAGGTACAAGTTCAGGTTGGGCTACATCATGGTGGGCAGGATGTTACTTCTCAGCACTTATCATATCTTTGGATTGCTGTCTAGCGGCTTTGCTTAGGATTGTCTGGTTCCTGCTACAGTATAGAGCAACAGATTGGAAGATTTTGTTTGCTAAGCATTCGGAAGACAAAAATCACTCAAATTTGCTCACAGTTGGACACTGGCTGGGTGGAATTCAATGAGATAACAGAGGTGACATCTTCTGAGGTGATTCAGGATTCCTTCAAACCTGTGAAGTCTGAGTGAGTGAAGGGTTCTCTGCAAGATGAGCTCTGCCACCTGTGTGTTTGATCCTTGTCCCTCTTGGTTTGTATGAACTAAGGAGTGAGGGGACAAGCTACAATGCTAAATATTGTTTTTTAAAAAATAAGACCTACTGTCTCTAACTGTATTTGACCAACAAATGGGAAAGATAGAGTTAATTAAAAATATAACTTATTTGTGCAAAGGAATTACTTAAAATATTTAAGATTAATAGATCTAGAAAAAGTGAAAGAAACAGAGGTCTTGTTATATAAACCCAAGGCAAGAAATACTTGGATTGCATAAGGCCAAATTAGATAAGATTCCACTTGTACTATTAGTAATGGGATGAATAGCATTTATAAATGTTAAGGTTAAATGAAAAGGATTCAGTGTCTGTAGGACTTTAACCCTTTGTCTCTAGTACATGTTTGGTAGAGTACAGCCTTGGACTGTGGGTATCATGTATTCTTCCTGATTGTATCCAAAGAACATAGCTCATTTATGTCCATAACAGCTCCACCTCCAACTTAAGTAGGTATGCCCCCTCATCTGGAACAGGAATTCGGGTGGGAGGCAAGCAAAGGGTTGTCCTCTGTAAGGTTTGCCCCGTTCGACAGAGAAACTCCCGTGACACGTGTGGTTCACAAAAGA